CCGTAGTGTTCGTGTGTAAATGAGTGTGTATAGGTGCTTCACAATGATGGGTTGCAGCTGGAAGGGCATCCGCTATGTAAAACATATGCTGGATAAGTTGGCAGTTCATTCCACTGTGGTGACCCCAGATAAATAAAGGGACTAATCTGAAAAGAAACTGAATGAATGAATGTATGCTGTGTGTAGTTTTTCTGTAATTGGTAAAAGATCAGAGACTGTAAGGGTCTGTATGTGTTCATATATGTTGCATTTATTTATTTAATTCATGTTCAGCACTCGCAGATGTTACAGTAGACTATTTCGCACCATAATTTATCTGCAGTTATAATCAAATCATGTTCATAGAAAGGTTGGTAATGAATATTTATACACAAGTAAGTATGTATATAAAGCATCTGTTTTGTAAGAAGTGCATCTCATATGATATGTGAACTGCCAGTACAACTTTACTTGTCTGGGTTCAGAAGGAAATAAGGCAATGTAAACACAAAACAGCCGAGAAGGTGGCAAGGGCGGGACAATCGAACTTGGTTTCGGACCAGGCAATCAACCCAAGTGTGCAAGCACCCTAATTTATAGTTCTACTCAACAAGCAGGATGAACAGAGATGCATTTAGAGTTGTGTTTTGAAACATTAATGTATATGGAAACACAGCCAGAAATCAATATCAACCTCTGCATTAACATATAACTTTTAATAAAGCCTATTGCTCTCCCTTCACTCCAGAAAAAAATAATAAATACAGTGAGAATTGAGTGATGTGACCCAATGTATTAACATACAATAAAACGTAAAACAGTCTGTGTTTTTTTTTCTGACAGGCCTGTGGGTTTTACATCCTCAGATTTTTGTTCAATTTAAATTGATTATTTAAAAGCTCACAAATACAAAACCCATTCAAACATTTACTTAATACAGTTTAGTGAGTTCCTTCCACTAATGGGTGATGTCTGGTTTAATACTCATTCATTCCTTTATTCATTTTCTTGTCGGCTTAGTTTTTACGCAGTGGATGACATTCCAGCCGCAACCCATCTCTGGGAAACATCCACTAACACATTAACACACACACTACGGACAATTTAGCCTACCCAATTCACTTGTACCGCATGTCTTTGGACAGTGGGGGAAACCGGACCACCCAGAGGAAACCCACGCGAACGCAGGAAGAACATGCAAACTCCACACAGAAATGCCAACTAAGCCAAGGCTCGAACCAGCAACCCAGCGACCTTCTTGCTGTGAGGCGACAGCACTACCTGCTGCACCACTGCTTCGCCCCTGGTTTAATAGTTAAAATTATTTTTATTATTTTTTTTATATAATTTAGTATTTTTGTAACCCTGTTTAATTACAGACAGTCAGAAATATCAGAAACGGTCCCATACTGATTGTGGTTTGTGATAAATGTAATAATATGACAAAATATAATGAGTTTGTGAGAGGATAATTTTCCAAAAATGTATGTATAATCAATTTTAATTATAGTGCCTAAACAACAACTTTTTTATAATAATTGCAAATTTAGAACACAAGTTGGTTTATCATTCCATCGATTGAGATTTCTAAATATGATACATAAAATATTTAATATATAATAATATGTTAAATTACATCATGCTAAATATTATTACATTATTAAATATTTTATATTTAAAAAAGTACATTGTCATTTCAATTTAACGACTATAACCTTTTACACTTTTAATTAAAATGAAACACATTCGTTTTAACTTCAGCAATATTCTGCTGAGGATCTTTTTATATGTAATGAGTGCAGTTTATTGTCAGAGATGAGTTGCAACTGGAATGGCATCCGCTGTGTAAAACATGCGCTGCATAAGTTAACGGTTCATTCCGCTGTGGTGACCCTGGATTAATAAAGAGACTAAGCTTAAAAGAAAATGAATGAATGAGTGCAGTTTAGAATTGTATTCGAGGACTGACAGCTATTTATGACAACTTGCATTTTAAACCCTACATTTTTAAAAGTTTCACTTTTCAGGCCTGCAAGATGCCATTGCTGTGTAAATGAATGGCCAAAAACAAAACAAAAAAATTGTTTACGCTATTTTAATGTGCCTGTGTTACATTGTAACTATTAATTTAACTACTGAGAAATTACAAATAAACTACATTACATGTTTGAGGCTAAAATTAAGGTTAAGATTAAGGGGTCACACTTTATTTTGATGGTCCTTATGTGGAATTTAAGTTACATTGCATCTGCATGCTAACTAATTCTCATTAGATTATAAGTAGACTGTTAGGTTGGGGTTGGGGTTATAGGGTTAGTGTAAGTTGACATGTACTTGCAAAGTTTTTTATAGTCAGTTAAATGTCTTTTAAAGGCGCAGTATCAGCAGATATAAAGCAGACTGTCTATTAATACTCAAATGGACCATCAAAATAAGGTGTTACCGATCAGTCTCAGGAGCATGTAATTAATTGATAGTAGACACAATAATAAAAAAATACATTAATGTGTTTCATAGTTTACATAGTTTAGCTGAAAATTGTGTAAACACCCAAAGTACAAACATGCAAAAGTGATGCAAGATTGATTGTGCTCTAAATGTAATTTAAGCTTATTCTGACATGTCAATCCGTCTCTTACAATAATAACTAACAAAACCGGCACTCACACTGAGCGTGTGGTATTTACAGCCGGTCGCGGAGACAAATATAGATAATAACCTCTTGAGGATCATTTCACAATGCCGCATGCAGGCCCTCTTCCTCTCCACTACCCATCATTCCCATTTGCACAAAGCCCATCCCACCGTAGTTGTCGCTAAATTAATATTCAAAGGTTAAGAGGTCTGTGCCTAGCGTGTAATGAGGAAGCAGACTAGTTAGTTAGAGCAGGTTCATTGAGCTCTTGCATTAACACATTGCACATGGATAATTTATGATTCCCATTGTCCCTCCTTCTGCGGGAATAAATTTTGAATTATTTATGCCCTCTTCATGCTTGTGGAAACGGAACATTTTAGTCTGTGTCGGCCATTCACTCATAATCAAGCAGTGAAACATTCGCTCTAGCTGGGGGAATAATGTTCATCTCTAGTTATTAAGTTCCGCCATCTATTTCTCACTGCCTCCAGGGACCAAAAAAAAAAAAAAAGAATGGCGGGTAAATAATAAAAAAAAGGATCAAGTCGTGAACTTGTCGTCAGTGTGAACCAGAATATATTGCATTGCAGTGCTTATTTGCCATTTGTTTAGTTCTCTTTTTTAGACCTCTTAGCATTAGTGCGGTTTTCTTGTGTCCTAAATGGGACAGCCTGTCCCGTGTTATGATGTATCACCCAGAGAGCCGGGGAGCTGACCCTCGCCTATTAGACACGGAAAGCAAAGTGGTTTTATTTGTGAAATCCGTGTCAAATGTCAAATCTTTTAATCATGTTTTTGTTTTTGCACAGATGAAAATGGATGGACGTTGTGAACCCGGCAAACGAAAAGGTGCTGCAGGTTAATAGCGGCTTCTATTTTGCACAATTTGTACAGTTACTCTTTTCTAATATCATTAGGGAAATTAGCTGTGAGGTGATTTATTCACTTATTTATTAAATAAATCATTTAAACACACACTGAATCTTAAGTATGCGAGAGGAAGACAAATTGGCAAGACAACTCTGCCCCTCTTAAGTAGAACAAAGATAAATCAAGTAATAAACGTACGGCCGTGTTTTGCATAGCATTAATTAGAGCTGCTTTAATTTGCTTAGAACATGCATGGATCCGTTTAAATGTGTCGTACATATTTAAAGGGTGGAGATGAATTATGATAGAAGGGAATTTGATTTCTGTTGTGCCCATTTCATAGCTTTGCTGTGTATGATGTCCTATAGTTTGTTACCTTATTTTATGTAATTACTTTTTTCTTTTTATATATATGTTTTCCATAGTATTGTCAATATTAATCTCAAACTCAAAAGTATACAAAGTATGGCAATATTTTATTTGGTACCTTGGTATCAGGGTTACAAAACTCAATATTTGTATTATTATTATTATTATTATTATTATTATTATTATTACTAAATTTGAAATGAAGATCTGCATAGACATGTTTAGTAAAACTTTAATTTAAAAATACCAATATACGTATTTTTTAGTAATTTAGGGAGTTAACGAAATAAATGGATTTCATAGATTAATATTTTTTTTTAACTGAAAGCCTTTATTTGTGCATTTACTGTAAAGTTATTGTATGACGTGATAATTAGTGGCATTAGTGTGACAAATACTTTTTAAAGATATCCATGTCACTACAATTAGATGCTTTTGTTACTTCTGTTTTCTCACCTTTGTCATTTGTGTGTAAGTGTACAGTATGTGTGTGTGTTTATTTTGTTATCGATAAAAAAAAAGAAAAAAAAAACATGAAGCACACATTTAAATAAACATCTGAACATCACTCTTAGCACTGAGGACATAAGGATTTGTGTTTGTTGTATGTCACCTCAGAAAGGTTTCATGCCTCTTTTTTATCTTAAGTGAAGAAAAATGCTGTATGGTATATTGACAAATACACAACCCAGACTCATTCTGATTATGTACACCTGTATACATTTCTGGAGAGCACCAAATACGTCCCAGGAGCTAAGCTTTCTTGCAGTTTTTGTTTTTGCAAATCCACCAGAGGCCGCTGTGTACAATTTTACCGATCTCAAATTTCTTTCCTGAGTGCCATTCGCGCCTGCTGTTCTCATGTAAATCCATCAGATGCTGCTGTCGACTGACTGATTTATTGACTGACAGAGCAACCAACTCAACCTCTCCCTTCCCTACCCAACAAATAGTGTTTTGAAAAGCACCCATTTACCCACCCACCTGCTTCTCTTATCCCAACCAACAGTTTTGAAAAGCATTTCAGAAAAAGAGAAGTCCTCACCTGATTTTTAACACTTTTTCAGATTTTAACACATTCTCATCCTGTTATTTACTTGTTTATTTTAATTGTTTGGCTTCGTTTTTTTTTTTTTTTTCTTACCTGCTTTTGGGAACCGTTCTGGAACTGCATTGTTGTACTCTTTTCTGCATCTCAAGTCTGCTACCAGACAAGCTGGTAACAGTGGGAAAGCCATCCATAAGGAGGTAAACGGTCAGCTGGTAAGTGAAAAAAGGAACGGTGTCATTCTGCCCTGTAGCGTTCATTTTAAAAATGAAATACAGCCATACACAGGTCTGGCTACATAATTTGCGATCTCCAAAAATGTATAAAGGGCTACGTTTTCAGGTTGAGCCTATGCTGCAAAAACAGTATACAGATTGTTTCAAGAATTTCCTTGAATTAAACAATATATTGTTGGTAAAATAATTGAAAATGGACTGGCACCTTGTTACCAGTTTTTTGTTCCATAATATACAATAAAAAAATTAAGGTCTTATAATGCAATTTAACAGCATAAATATGTGTATTTATATATAAGTGTATTTATACATTTAGCCTGCAGTTTACTATTTAGAACTGAGGCCTTGAAATGAAAAACCATATAAGTCCATATTTTCAAATTTTGAAAATATATGTATATGCTATTTCATTTCCCAGAGAAGGGTTGCGGCTGGAAGGGCATCTGCTGCGTAAAAACGTGCTGGATAATTTGACGGTTCATTCCACTGTGGTAACCCTGGATTAATAAAGGGACTAAGCCAACAAGTAAATGAATAAATGAATATGTTACTTCAAACTGTTCTCACGCTTTGCCATCTCACGGTATAAATAAATATATAAACAAATAAACTCTACTCATTCTTTTTTTCTCCTCTTTAATTTAAATATGGTTTCCTACCATCTCTTAAAACCTTTCTTGCGCTGTCCTTCCATTTGTTCATGTTGGCTCTCCTTTCTCTCCATTCTTCTTAGTAGACATAAGAGTTAATTCTATTTTTATGTTTAAAATGCAAACTCTTGGTCACACAAAAATATTCTCAAACTATTTCAAACTATTTCTATTCACAAAGTTTACACATTCAATAAATGTCACAAGGTAATTCAGTTTTATTTTTTATTTTTTTGGACTTACCGTTATTCATCAAATGCACTCAATAGTGCTTTGCAGTAATTCAAATTGGATCCTTGGATCATTTCCCACTCTTCCTTGTTTCTCTCGTAAAGGTTGAAACAACAAAGCAAACCTTTTTACAAAAGTTTAAAACATCAAATGTTCTCCCAGCTCCTCGCTCTGCACACCAGCGTGACTATTTTTGCCGTGCGACTAAATTAGCTATTAGATCGATGTGACTTTTGTGCATAAATGGTCTCTTCCCTCCTGCCCAACAATGTCTAATAAATCTGTGAGGGGCGATTATTGATGCTGCCGGTGACGGTGACACAAAAGGGGGGTATTTAGAACGAGGCTGCGAGGGTCATGAACAGTATTTTAAGCTGGCAGTTTAACCCTGCATCCTGTCAGCGCTGACCTTTCGCCAACCCCAACGAGTGGCTCATTCCTCCCTGCTCCACTTCTTTACAAGGAGAGAAAGAGAGAGGCAGAATAAAACGATGTATGAGAGGTGTCAGACAGAGACGTTTACATGCAAAGGAGTTAGGAGCCAGCTGCAAGCCAGCGATGTTTTGCAGTCACCTCATACGCAATAGCTAATGCTTTAGATTGCAGTTCGCAAATTACATAGTAAGTGTAGCAAACTTACTGTATATGTTGACTTGTAATGACAGTGAAATTATAGAGTACTTACATATAAGGATAAGGGAACAGTACGAAAGGTTTTGGGGGAAACTAGAGGGTAGCAAGTACCAACTGTAAAACGTAATAATAATGCAAATCCATAAATCTATGGTAATAAGACTGGCAGCAGGACTTTTAGATATATTCTATTAAAATGGCATCAAATAACAACAAAATTACATGCCATTTCACAAAATTACATGCCAAATACAGAACAGACTTTACAATGAAAAATAATTAAAGTACAGTATTTTTATTATAATAGTATAGTATTACATTATAGTAATTTACAGTAAAAGTTATTTTATGTCTACATAGAATCCTTTTGTAAAAACACATATTATCATCTATAATAACCAGCAGGATTAAAATGAAACCCATACAGCATAAAATAACAAAACACAAAAAGAGCTCTTGATATTTCAACCTTGATTTACTAAAGCATTCAAACTGGCTGCATACATTTCAGTGTCTGCTACTTTTTCCTGCATATTTGAATGCACTACCTGACAAAAGTCTTGTTGTCCAAGTTTTAGGAATAACAAATATTAACTTGACTTAATGTTGATCGTTTGGTGTTAGAAGTGGCTTATATGAAAAAAAGGGCCTCTAGATTAAGCTTATTTTACCATGATAAAATCTGATCATGCCTTGATTTTTAAAGAGTTCATTTGGATAATAAGGTCTGACTTTGCTTAGACAAAAGTCTTGAAACATAACAGAGATAATGTACAGTATAGAATATAAAGTCATGGTGCTGTGGAAAAAAAGAATTAATATTGTGAGCTTGGAGGACTGCATTTATACATCTCTTCAATGACTCAAAAAACTTAATAAAGTCATCTTGAATGGCAAAGTGTTCTTGCAGGACTCCCAGAGTTCATCAAGATTATTTGGATTCATCTTCAATGCCTCCTCTTTCATCTTACCCCAGACTTGCTCAATAATGTTCATATCTGGTGCCTGGGCTGGCCAATCCTGGAGCACTTTGACTTTCTTTCAGGAACTATGAGGTGGAGGCTGAAGTATGAGAAGTTGATCTAACCTGCTGAAGAATTTGCCCTCTTCTGGGGTTTGTAATGTAATGGGCAGCGCAAATGTCTTGAAACATCTGGCTGTTGATGATCTCTGCAGATCTCTCACACGGGCTTATACTGAATGTAACCCCAAACCATGATTTTTCCTTCACCAAACTTGACTGATTTCTGTGAGAATCTTGGGTCCATGCAGGCTGTAATAGGTCTTTTGCAGTATTATTGATGATTGAGATGCAGTTCAACAGATGATTCATCAGAAAAATCTACCATCTGCCACTTTACCAAATGATCAACTAAATATCTAGTTATTATTTGTTGCTCTTTCAACTAGGATAGACTATAAGACTTTAGATAGCATTTGATAGCGAAACCAAAACTTTGAAATGTCTTTTAAACATAAAAATACAGCATTTACACTTTGGCAAGAAACATTTTGCTCTGCTGACAAACTAAGGTGTGTACCTTTGTGGTGGTCTAACTCAATTATTGGCTGTATAACAAAAATAAACAAATAAAAATATATATAGTTTTTAAAATAATACCTTCATAAAACATGATGACAGACATGCAAAGCTTAAATCTAAAATCTCAATAGAAGCTTTGATTGTAAATACGACATAAATAAATAAAATCTGTACATGTTTATATGAACATTCAAAATGATCCCAATGGCCATTCAAATACTGAAGAATTTTGATAGTTCCAATATTAATGGCTCATATTTATATATTTGGAGGAGTGTTGACTATGTTATGTGTGTGTGTGTGTGTGTGTGTGTGTGTGTGTGTGTGTGTGTGTGTGTGTGTGTATGTGCTTGTGTGCATGTGTTTGCATTTATTTATTTTATTTTCATATTTTTTAACATACTGCATATAAATATTTTTATGACTTTTTCTTAAGCTGGCAAACTGATGTGCGGCTAAGGCTTGGCCAGCATGTGGATGGTGATCTGGGGGCGTTATTGACCCGCCCATAAGCCCAGGCGACCTCTGTTTGACCCGGAGTTCACCTGCAGTTGACCTTGAAGGAAGCCTCTTACGCACTGTTCTCTACCCTCTCTCACACACACCCACACACATGCACAAAGGCTAAATCATGGGTGAAAACCTCTCACCTCTCTGAGCTCTCGGTTATTAGCGCTGAAGTCAATAGGACTGAGAAGGAAAGAGGGCAGTGGAAACATTGAGCAGATGAGGCCGCAGGGGGAATTATATACACAGCTCTTCTTTTAATGTATTCCTTGAAATAATGCTTTACATTTAAACATATATTATATTATATTATATTATACATTTATTTTCTTTCCGCCTTAGTCCCTTTATTAATCAGGGGTCGCCATAGTGGAAAGAACTGCCAACTCCAGCACATGTTCAACATAGCATATGACCTTCCAGCCACAACCCAACACTGTAAAAATTATATTTAATTTAATTTAATTTAATTTAATTTAATTTAATTTAATTTAATTTAATTTAATTTAATTTAATTTAATTTAATTTTATTTTATTATGCTATGCTATGTTATATTATGTTTTATTATATTGTTTTATATTATATTATAATATATTATATTATATTATATTATATTATATTATATTATATTATATTATATTATATTATAAAACATTTTTTTTCCTCAGATATTTAAACTGCTTTTTTACTATTATGCCTGGCAATGCAATGTGATTTAGTGTTATCATGTTGTTTTGTGTATGCATGGATGTATGGATGTTTGTAAGTTTATAATTTATAATTTTAAAACTTTATATTTAATTAAAACATGGTCTAAAAACCATCCCACATTTGCAAAGTTTTAATTTATTTATTTATTTATTTATTTATTTATTTATTTATTTATTTATTTATTTATTTATTTATTTATTTATTATTTTAAGTTTTAAAATCATAAAAAAAAATAAAAAAAAAAAAATTATCAGTTTTGATGGTATGCAAATATTGAGTGATATCTCAATATTTCCTTAAGAACAGGATGCAGTTCATTGTTGGTCAAACTTTTTTCACTCAAATTATTATGCTGATTGTAATGAAAATTTATGTTGCAAATTTCAGAAATGGGATCCTGAATGTTACTAGTAATCTCTGGTTTTTGAACTCAACTTTATGCTTCTCTCATTTTATATGTGTGTGTGTGGGTGCATGCAGGTATGTGTGTGTGTATGTGGTGGGGCAATGGAGAGGAGAAAAGGGAGGGAGGGAGGGTGATTTAAACCAGTTTGAAAGCTTTCTGTAATTATACATGAATTATCCATGAAGGCCTTGATGTTAAAGCTGTCTCTGTCGACGTGAGGTTTGTCTGTTAGAGGTGACAGACAGACTGTGGTTAAGCCTCTCACATCACTCTCAGGTATTTTGAGGGCTTATGCCACTAAAGGTGCACTTAAATCTCGACACAAGTTCTTTTCATAGTCGCTGTCACTGGAAAATCGTACATGGAGCAATTAGCCTAATGTATGGCACAAGACGACTGCTGAGTTCACTGGTAAATATTCCTAGTCTGAGACCACAGTTTCTCCATTTGACCAATGAAGTGAAACACTTAACCCCACTCTATTTTAGGGGCGCAAAGGTCGACCTTTTGCTCTGACCCCTCTTTATATTTGACTTTTCATTATCTTTAGCAAAATTATAAAATTGTGGGGTGCATTTGCCCAAAAGCATTGGCAATCAACTAAGATTGCATTGAGTTCTGTCGTTCCAAACAGAATTTGGGGATTTTGTTTCCTGAATCCCAACAAACATTCACTAACAGTTTTCCAATAACTGTCTACACAGCTAGACCTGTGGTGAGAAGCAGAGCTCATGGCTGTGCTTTATTCTCAGTTACCTCCTATGTACAGTGGCCGAGAAAGCTTAATATGCAACAATTTAAGAAAGCATGTGCAATTACAAAAAAAAACAAAAAAAACAGCAAAATTAAAAAAAAGATCAAATTAATCGTAATAAAAATTAATTTAAAAAATAATAAAAATTAATTAATAAATTAATTAATAAAATAATTAATAAAAAATAAAAGAGCAAATAAAAAAAAAAAGATCTTCATCCGTTTGATAGCACATGTGCTGCAAATCCTCACAAGGCATATAGATAAAAAGAAAAATTACTGCGTTTTCTCACAATGCAAACAAGCGATTAAAATGCGCTTCATTTTCTTGAAACGCAAATAATTTACCAAACGCGCTGCATTTTGTCACAACACTTGCAAAAAGAACAGAGCGCAACAAAAATGTTTCAAGAGGACCCAGAAACGTGATGAACACCGATGTGCCATGATTATCGCTCAGTGAAGTTACAGGTGATCTTTTTTGTTTTGTGAATTTTTTTTTGTTTGTTTATTTAACATCCTTTTTTGTATTATATTAGCCTAAATTATCATAACTGACATAGCCAGGTCCATTAAGTTTTAGGGTCTCCTTGAAACCTTTTTGTTGTGTTTCATTCCTTTTCGCAAGTGTTAAGAGAAAATGCAGCGTTTCGTAAATTGTTGGCGTTGTGAGAAAATGCAGCAGGCTTTTTAAATGTGTTTGCGCTGTGAAGATTTGCAGCACATGTGCTATCAAAAGAATGAAGATCTTTACTCAATTTGCAGGTGTTTTTTGTAATTGCATGTGCTTTCTTAAATAGCAGCACGTTAAGCTCTCTCGGCCACCGTGCCTATGTGTACTCAAACACTTCACCATACACTTTGAACAATTTTAAAACATTAAAGTTGTCTTACGTTAATAGTATATATAGTTAACATCCAGGCATAAACACGTAATTTAATTTATGTTTTAAAAATATACATCTCTGCTCTGTTTAGAGTGTCAAACTTTTTTTTTATAATCAAAAAAAAATTATAAACATGACACTTTTGTAAAAAATTAAATTGTAAAATGTAAAAACATAAAACCAAATGTAACTGTTTAGAAAACAAATAAATTAAATAAAAATATTATACAATCAATGAAAATATTTTTACATGTCATTTTATGGCCATTCATTCATTTTACTTCCCTTTAATCTCTATTTCAGAGTTCACCACAGCGGAATGAACCGCCAACTGTTTCGGCATACATTTATCCAATGGA